ATAAATATATATATATTCATTCAGCTTTGTTGTTTATGTGATATATTTTATAAAAATGATATTGCAAAATATAATAAAATGTTTTGTACACATTGAAAAAGTAACCTTAGTACTGCACAAAATAATGTTTTGCAGTGTGATTTGCATGGAGGATTGTGTTTGCCTCTTTTCCATCAAATATATATAGTATAACATAGTAATATAATAAAATATATGAAACAGATTATTCATTTCTGATATTTTTTTACTAACATGGTGATAAAAAAGAAAAACGAACACGCATGGCAGCATAGCAGCCAGTCAGAAATCTTGTTGCTCCTGCTGCACCATGAAAAAACCTAAATGCTGATTGGTTGACATTGGTTACTGTATACCATTGCCATATGCACTGTGTTATTAAATTAGCCCAAGACAATAATGTTTTAGCAAATTTACGTATTTATGTTTCATGCTGTAAATAGTGTCTGCTTGTGTTTTGTCTTGATGCTCAGATATAATACTGTTTGTTGACTTACCTTGCAATTGAAGAGGAATTATGCTAAACATTATCGATATGTAACAATGCATTCACTTTTTCATAAACCTGTCTACTTTTTCATCCCTTCCTGTATGGAACAACAGAAAACATTTTTATTGAACCCAAAATTGTAAGAATTTTGACCCCAGGATTCAAGTGATAATGTGTGAGCTCCCTCAGTAGAACTTTATGCATTTGATACATTTAAAGCTGCATTCGCACCAGATGCGTTGGGGCTGTGCTGGCTGCTTTTTCCAGTGCAGCCCCAATGCTAGACAAGGTAATTTACCTTTTATTTGAATGGGCTCAATTCACACCACTGTGAATGTGAATAATTATAATAATTTATTAAATATGTGTATCCCAGGGGTAGGCAACCTTGGCTCTCCAGCTGTGCTGAAACTATAAATCCCATCATGCTTCTGCCTCTGGGAGTCATGCTGTGGCTTGCAATGCCTTATGGGATTTGTAGTTTCAGCACAGCTGGAGAGCCAAGGTTGCCTACCCCTGGTGTATCCTCTGCCTGTCATAGAAAAAGTGTCAGGCAGTAAACCCATCTGTCTCCTGCCTAAACTAACTTTAATGCTGAAACCCTTACAATGAAATTTACTTTGGCGTGTTAAATGCAACATTGAATGGGGGGAATTTAGCAAAGCAATTGCGACAGTTTTAGCCTCTTAGATCATTTTTTTGTATGTGCAAATCCTGTCTTTTAACATATGCGCCTATTTTGACCACAGCTTGTACTAGTTTTAAAAGGTTTTATAAAGGAGCTTTTGATATGCCCTGTGTTACGGCACAGTGCACTGCTTAGTGTCTGAGGGGCCAATTTCTAGGGTCCAATGCTAGGGAGCATAGAGCAGTGGCGGAACTACCGCCGGCCTCAGCCTTGGGGGGGACCCAGCACAGTTGATGGCCGCTGAATAGCTCCGTATCCAGCGGCCAGCGGGCCCCCAGTCTCTGCTACGGGAGTGTCGGTTCATCCTACACTCCCGACCGGTGGCGTAGCGAGGGGGGTGGGGAGGCCGTCACCGTAGCTCTCGGTTAGCCCGCCCACCTGCCCGCCTCAGCTCTCTAATCGGCCGCCACTAGCTCCTGAAGGGGGTCCTCTGGAGGCCCCCACGATCAGGCAGAAGTGGCCACCTAAACAGGCACTGTAGAGGGCCGCCTGCAGGGGGCCTCCAGAGGATCCACTTCAGGAGTGAGCGGCGGCCGATTAGAGAGCCGGGTCTGACCGGGAGCTGCGGTGACGGCCGCACGGTCAATTGCCCCCCCTCGCTACACCACTGGCCGGGAGTGTGCAGAAAGGCGGCAGAGGGATGGAACAGCTGCGGGCTCACAACCAGGGTCCAGGGATCCCCACTGACCACCAGGCTAAGGTAAGGTGACATTTTTTAAAATAAAATTTTAAATGTTTTATCATTTTATGTTCCCGGGACATTTTTAAATACAGAGCGTGCGGGTTACTATTTAAACCGGCGCGCTGTGTGCAGCTTCTGGGAAGATACACTATTAGCGCAGCGGGAGCGATGCAAAATGGGCAGCAGGCTTCCCCACTATGCTAATAGCGTATCTTCTCAGAAGCTGCACACAGCGCACCGGTTTAAATAGTAACCGGCGCGATCTGTATGCTGCGCTTGTCGGTCGTTCCAGGGATCAGGTGAGTATTAAAGGGTTATTAAACCCTCTGGCTTTTTTTGCATATATATGAGGGTAGCAAGCAGCAGATACATGCAAAAAGTTGAAAAAAACCCAAAACGTTTTAATACGGTTTAAACTTACCCCGTCTTTGCCGCGCGCTCCCGTCCGAAAATCCGAAACTGCTCAGGCGGCCGCAAAGCATCTTGGGGCGGGCGCATGCGCAGTTCGGATTTTCGGCCGGGAGACGAGGAGAGACACAAGGTAAGTCTATGGACGCGTGCACCCGCATGCAGACACCATGGGACAGGAAGTGCCAGCAAGGACAGAGGAGTCAGCG